TGTATGTGGTGCTGAGGATCGAACCTGGGCCGCACGCATGCCAGGCGAGCGCGCTACCGCTTGAGCCACATCCCCAGCCCATAACTTAGATTTCTTGAGGTATAATTTATATACCATTGGATTTCTATTTAAATGACTACGTTTTGTTTAGTCTAGTTCTGTTAACCTAATGTTTAGTACTACATATTTACAATTGGGAAATTCTCATTGTCTTAACTACCAAATAAAGTGCAGGATGTGAAGTATTGTTCATTCCAAGTAGTATTAATGAACTGTTAATGTAATGTTTTTTCTTTGTGTATTCATTGCTTTTTAAACATTTGACATTTAAAAATATTTTTGTTATTGAGAAAAGATTTAAACTCTATAGTATAGATAGAAACTGTAGGTTTCGAAGAACTTGTATACTAGACTGAAATGACCTTTTGATCTTTGGGAGACTACATAGTTAAGWGTCACAAGTTTGAAGAAAGATGGTTGATGGAAAATGGGAAGTAGGCAGTTCAGGACAGGAATCTTCATATGATAGTAAAGTTAGAAGAAAAATAGATTTAAAGGCACCTTTTGGAATAGATATTGAAGCATTTGTTTATGTGTGTGTGTGTGTGTATRTATATATTTGTGTATCTTAACATAGTAAGAAATGATATTCTCAAGAATTAAACTCTTGCTGGGTGCTGTGGGSTATCCTGGCGCAGGCCTATAATCCCAGCAGCAGGAGGATCACAAGGTCAAAGCCATCCTTAGCAATTAAGTAAGACCCTAAACAATGTAGAGAGATCCTGTTTCAAAAAAGAAACAAAAGTCCTAGAGATTTGGCTCAGTGGTAAAGTGCTTTTGGGTTCAATCCTCCTTGCCCCCCCCCCCCAAAAAAAAAACCACAAATTAAGCTCTTGATTTCATACATACTCTGTATCTTCAGGATAATACATTAGTGCTTCTTGTATGTATTTCTGGTCACATTTATCTTTAATATACAAAAGACTTAGGCCCTGCTGGCCTAGTATCTTTATTTCTACTTCTGAGATTTTACCTTTGTATCACATGTTCCTAACTTCAGACCTGCTCATTATTTTGACCTTTCTACATTCTTTTTTTCGCTACCCAGTCTATCCTGAAGCACTTTTCTGTTCAAATGGTGAATCTATTCTGATAGGAACTTTAGTCAAGTTTTTCTTCCTCTTTTCATGTTAAAGAAACTCTCTAGCAATATATTGCTCTGTGTGTAGTGCTACCTTTATTTCTAAGACTGTAGTGCTGTACTACTGGGTTATATCCTTAACCTCCCTTCCATCTTCCTAGGACACAGGGTCTCTCTAAGTTGCCAAGGCTGGTCTTGAACTTGCTGTCTTCCTGCCTCGGCCTCCTGAGTCTCTGGGATTAGAGATGTGTGCTGCCAGCAAGCACTGTCAAATTTTAAGTTGTGTGTTAGGGATTCATGCCCTGTATGCATACGGGGCATGATCTCTCCCCAGAACCACAGAAGGGGTTTAAAAAAAATYTTTAAAAAAATTTTATTTTCACTATATATATAAAAATATAATAATGACAGGTTGGGGTTGTGGCTCAGTGGCAGAGCACTTGCCTAGCATGTGTGAGGCACCACGTATCAATAAATAAAATAAAGGTTCATTGACAACTAAAAAATTTTTTTWAAAAATAATGAAAATAATAGAATGCATAATGAAGAATGAATCATTGACTTAATTGGAAAGTTGTTGGAAGTTGTGAAATATCACTTAATTTGGTTTTGTTTTGGTTTGGAGGGAGTTGGGGGAGTATTTCTCTGCAATGGAAGTGTGATGTATACAGAGGAAACAAATCTCAAACGTCAGAGACCTGTTTTTCTTACTTGACTATATTGAGCAAGTGATAATGAGGATGTTAGAAAAAAAGTTTGCCAGTGAAATGTAATTTTTTGCCTTAACAAACAAATAAGATTATTTTGGTTTTCAATCCAGGCTCCAAACCTGGATATTCAAAATATACCAGATAACTTTGAAATATTAATATTATTTAGAAGAGCATGTATAGCTGGGCACAGTGGTGCACACCTATAATCCTGGCAACTAGGGAGGCAGGAAGATTGCAAGTTCAAAGCCAGTTTTGGCAACTCAGTGAGGCCCTTAAGCAACTTGGTGAGACCCTCAAAATAAAAAGGCATGGGGATGTGGCTCAGTGGCTAAGGGCCTCTGGGTTCAATCCCTGGTACCAAAAAAGAAAGAAGAAGAGGTGCAACTATAGTTAACTTTTTTTTGTTGTTTGTTTTTTTAATGCCTTATCACAAATAAGTGATTGGATATTGAGAATTTGGTTATTTTTATCTGCTTGGGGATGGGGGTGTGTATGGCTCACTTTGGTTTTGATTAGTCTTGAAATTTAGATGAAATGCCTAACTAGTGGGATTAAAAATAAGTATATCATTTTAGAGATTAGAACAGAGTGATATTATAGAATAACAAACAGTTGTATAGTCTTGTAGGATTGCTTCTATTTGTCTATATTGCCTAACTTTTAAAGAGTTGCATTTCACTTGATTTTTGTCACATGCCTACTATATATTTAGCATTGTTTTATGTTGGTAATCCCAGAGACTCAGGAGGCTGAGATTGGAGAATCACAAGTTTGAGGCTACCCTCAGATATTTAGGAARGCTCTAAGCAACTTCACAAGACCTTGTTTTCATAATTAAAAAATAAAAAGGGTTAGGGATATGACTCACTGGTTTAAGCATCTCTAGGTTCATTCCCTGGTACAAAAATTGGTAGACTGGGTAGTGAAAAAAAGAATGTAGAAAGGGCATCCCTACCTCTGAGAAGTCCTTTGTATGATTCCCCTTTTACCCCTGCTTTGCTATAAAACATTTCCCAGAACTGGGATTTTTGTTGTCTTGGGAACATTTTTTTGTGTGTGGATGCCTGAACTAAACTCCACTAAGCCTAAATTTGATTTGTAGCCACCGAAGGCCCAAAAAGTGGGGGATCCTGGGGATTGAACTCAGGGGTACTGGATCATTGAATCACATCCCCAGCCCTATTTTGTATTTTATTTAGAAAYGGGGTCTCACTGAGTTGCTTAGCACCTCTATATTGCTGAGGCTGGCTTTGACCTCTTCTTGATCCTCCTATCTCTGCCTCCTGGGCTGCTGGGCACCATAGGCCTTTTTAAGGGAGAAAAAAAAAATCAGAATGCACGGAATCTGGTTCAATAAATATTCATTATGATATATGTAGTTAATGTTACCTTTCAGTAGAGTACAAAATTTTTCTTTTTATAAACATCACAAAATGAATACAATTTAGAGAAATCACAATCTTTTATAAGTAGTGTTAGTGGTGGTTCATGGTTTTATATTTCTCTGCTTTTTGAGTATTGAAGTATGTTACAAGAGCAACAGTAAATGTAAGTAAGAAGCCAGACACAGAATAATAAAATAGCTGGGCGTGGTGGCACATACGTGTAATCCCAGCATCTCAGGAGATTAAGGCAGGAGGATCATGAGTTCGAAGCCAGCCTCAGCAAAAAAGGGGCTAGGATTGTGGTTCAGTGRTTAAACACCCCTGGGAGTTCAATCCCAATACCAAAAAAAGAAAGAAAGAAATAAGAAAATACACATAAGGTAGCTATTTGGTTACTGTAATGTTTCCTGATATTGAGTACTAGGTTTTGAGAACTGGTGTGTGTGTATGTGTAAGTTGTAGATGAACACAATATATATTTATTTTTATGTGGCACTGAGGGTTGAACCCAGGACTCACGTGTGCTAGGCAAGCGCTCTACCACTGAGCTACAACCCCAGCCTGAGAAATGGTGTTTTAATCTGAAATAGCCCAGTGGCACTAATTTATATGCTATATGTAAATCATTAAATGTAGAAGAGCAATTCTGATTTCCAAAAAAATGGTTATTTAAGCCCACCAGTCCAGATATTCCTTCTTGAATATTGTTTGCCTTAATAAAAATTTTAAATAGGATTTTAACAGGTGATAATTGTTGAGAAGAAATTCTGAATAATTATTGAGGAAGGTCAATGAGACAGGTCAGCTAGATATGGACACACAACTTGCCTAATAATTGGATGGATGCTACCTGGCTGGAAGATGGAGCTGATTGGTGGATCAATTTCCCAGAGGGGAGCCCTCTACTTTTAGTTTAAATATCTGTTAAAATTATATTCTGATGAAGAACTGTTACATTGTATGCTTTTATATAACTATCAWAAACGAAGTGATCACCAGTGATGATGATTATTCCACTAAAAGATTAAGTGGTTTCTTATATGTGAAATATATTTGGTTTGAGTGGTACTTAGTAAATATTTCTACTCAAAATATGAAACTTTTATTAATCATATCAAAAGTTAGACCACAACAGATATTAAAAATAAGTGGTTTTATTTTTTTTATTTGCTGAAAACTTATCTTTGCATTTCTTTAGGTTTATGTGAGATTAAGACCATTCTTCAGGGAATTCCTGGAACGAATGTCTCAGATGTATGAGGTAAATGTGCTGAGCCTAATTACATACATATTTTCATTTTATTCAATATAGTACCCATATTTAGATCATGTATAATGATTCCTTCTTTTCCCCTGAATTTGTAGATCATTCTTTTTACTGCTTCTAAGAAGGTGTATGCAGACAAGTTACTGAACATACTAGACCCTAAAAAGCAACTGGTCAGGTAAATTTAATTAAGAAATAGTGGAAATGTCTGTCACACTGATCTATGAAATTATGATGATTCTATTTAATTTTAATAGCCATTTTCATGGCTACATAGAGATTTACTATGTTGAATGGCAAAAATAAATGAATTTTCTTAAGCCCCAAAATTCTTAGAGTTCCTAAYCATAACTCCAGACAGACGTTCTTTCTAAAGGATACGAAGACCAAATGTATTTATTCAATGTGACATCTATATCCTCATTTCTTTTGGGATGGGGGAATGGGGGGTTGTGTTGAATTTCCCACTGTGAGCATGATGTTTGACCTTATTTTTCTGAGATAATGCATGATGTATTCCTTTTTTAATGGCATAAACGAGTTGATGTTAACAGAAATGATCAAATTTTTCAAGAGCAAATTTATCTTCCATGGAATGAAAATGATACATAAATTTAATTGGAAATGAAAGTTGGTTTAGTCAGGGCTGGGGATGTGACTCAGTGGCAGAGCGCATGCAAACAAAATTTTGATTTAGTTACTCAGGTTTTCCTGATCTTGATTCAGTTCCTTACATGTGCCTGAACCAGAAGATGGCATGCATTCCTGGTTAGGCCAGGGGTACATTGGGTGATTTTTAAAACATTTTGAAAATCAGTTTAATTATTTCTGTCATCTGAAGTGAGACTTCAGTTAAGACTGCAACAATCTTGTTGCATCCTTTAAGATATAGGGGTAAGGGGCTGGGGTTATAGCTCAGTAGTAGAGCGTTTGCCTAGCATATGTGAGGCACTGGGTTCGATCCCTGGCACCACATAAAAATAAGCAAATAAAATAAAGGTATTGTGTCCATCTATAATAAAAAAATTAAAAAGATATAGGAGTAAGTTGTTTGAATTTTTTACCAAGAGTGGAGATGACACAGAAGGCTCATAAAAGCTTTAATAGCTAAGTATTAATTTTCTTGAGCACTTTGTCTCATATTGTCTTCATGAAAAAAACTAAACTTAATTTTCTGCTGTTAATGATTCCTTTATTATTGAGTGGTTACAACTATACAGAAAGGTTTTTTCTAATGTCCTCATTTCAGGGTTTTTCCTTCTATATAAAACTATTCTCTTGTTTTTAAATCTAAAGGATCAGCTGAAGACATACACTTGAGAAATAGTATTTTCTATTCACAAAAGTATATTGTAATTTATGCTCATTTTACCTGATTTTAATAAATGTATAAAAATGATTTTGTTTTGATGACTTCATTAATTCTAAAGATTTCTGTTCAGCATGTATAATGTTCTATGAAACAATGATAAGCAACATAACCCTTTGGAGTTTTCATTATGCTATTACATTGTTATAAATTAACATCCTTTTTTAAAAGTAGCTTTWAAAAAATTGACGTATCGGGGAGTATAAATTTGTTTCCTCTAGTTGTAATTTTGAAAAAATTTGACCAGAAAAACTTTTTAATAGTAGATTTGAATAGAATGCTATGGGGAATTCACCTTTAGAGACAGTGGGGTAGACTGAGAATTCCTGTAATCTCTGAATCCCATGAATTCAAATGCAGATTTGTTGACATGGAAGATCTGCTATTAAATGAGTGGTACAAGTAGATTTTTCTTAAACTGGAAATTCCTACTCTTGGTCCTCAGATTCCTGGAGAGTTTATAGTGTAATTAAAGTAACCATAGTGTCATGTTCATTTGTCTTTTGTATTAGTGCATTTGCCACTGTTGGCAAAAGAGGCATCAACACAGTGACTTGGGATTACAGGTTGTGCCTGCCTCTCCAATTTCCATTATCTGAATGTCTATAGAAGTAAAATATTTGCTGTCATTTTTCCAAAGTAGAACTGTCTTTAAACCTTTTAGAGCAGATGATAATTTGAGTAATTAAAATGGGGTATGGTATATAAGTTTATTTTTGTTGAGCTGTGACAGATTTTGTGGGTAGAAAATACTCCCCCCTCCCGAAATTGCATAATTAAAAATACAGGTATGAGGGGAGGGAGAGGAAAAGAGGCAGGTAGGAATGATAATGGAATGAGTTAGACATTATTATCACAAGTACATGTATAAGACATGAATAGTATGAAAATACTTTGTGTAAAATCAGTATCTTGAAAAATTGTGCTTTATGTATGTAATATAAAATAAATTTCATTCTGCCATCAAGTATAACAAATCAGAATTTTTAAAAATGGCCTTACTAAAAAAAAAAAAAAAAAAAAGCCTATAAGCAACAAAGTGATTTCTCAGTACCCACATATTTTCAGTTTATGAGCTTTATTTATATAGTCCCTYTGATCTTCATTTTGAACCTGTATATTCTTGCTTTATACAAATTTTTTTTAGCTTAGGAGTATGGCTTCCCCACTTATCAGAAACAAAGGGCACACCCATTAAAATCAGCAAGTCTCAACTGATGATCATATTACAATGCAGGATGCAGGGAAATAGAAAAGACCCAAGATCAACAAATAAACATTGTAGTAGCTTAGGGTCATTTTGTATTTGGGCAAGTARCCATCTCCACATTCATATTAGAAAACACTTCTCTATTACAGCTCTGCAGGGTAGTAAATAGACTGTTCATAGCATTCACCCCCAGTAGTCAAACAATAAAAAGAAACCTCTGCTTAAGAGGCAAAGACRAATTCAATGTATTTTAGAAACATTTTCAAATAAAATCGTTGAAATAAAAAAAAAACAACACAGGTATGAGTAGTCCCTATTTCCTGAGAAGTTGTTTATAGGGSTTAAGAAACAAGGAAAGACAAAYTATCAGTTATTAAGGTATACAGGATGGAGTGTGGGTGGAAAAGTCAGTATTATCAATTATTAGTAATTTAAGAGATTAATATTTTGAAGGTTAATGGAGATTGTATAAGTAGTATTTAAATATTATCATAAAACCTTCACTAGCTTTCTAAAATAATGTGGCATTAAAGAGCCAAAAATTGGTGAAACATCAGTTTATAATACTTAAATCTGAATTTTACCATTTAATTCAGTCCCTTATTAAATAGCCCCCCCCCCCCATTCACACACACACTAAAAGAAATAGGGGTGTTTAGGAAAAGTTGAAATGATGGAATGTTTTGGCCTCAGCAGCTCATTTTCTCGAAAACTAAAAAAAAAAAAAAAAACCCATTTTTTAAGATGCCAACACAAAAACATTCCTTCTTATATTTTCTATTCTGGCATGTACAGGGATAGGGAGGCTGTGTGGTCTACTGGTTAGAGCAAAGGACTGGGAGCCAGGAGGATCTTGGGTTCCAATGCGGGGCTAACCACTGACTTACTGTGTGACTTTGGGCAAGTCAYTTGACCTCCTTGTGCCTCAGTCAACCATCTGGAAAATTGGTTAAAAGCAAGACCTCGCTGACAACCAGATGCTGCATCTGAACTGAGCTTTCCTGGGTAAATAAATTACAAAAACAATTTAGAATTTTTAATTCCCCTTTATAATTTAATATAATGTTTTTGGATAACCCCAAGTTCTTTAAGGAATGGCAATATTGGGTTGTAAGGTTTCAATAATTGCTAATTTTTTTTTTTTATATAAAACTGTAGCCCAAAGCTTAGGCCCAGTATTATATTTGAATTTCCTTAGTGAGAGAAAATAATAAGGCTTATTCTGTAAAGCCTATGGTATATGTATGTGTACATGTTTCAGTATGTAAAGTACTTTTTAAAAGGGATTTTTGTTTTTTGTTTTTTTAATTTTCTTTTATTTTTGTGTCTAGGCACCGGCTTTTCCGTGAACATTGTGTTTGTGTACAAGGAAACTATATAAAGGACTTAAATATCCTTGGAAGGGATCTTTCAAAAACTATAATAATTGACAACTCACCACAAGCCTTTGCATATCAGGTAGGAAGAGGATTGCGAAACAAACTCAGATTGGAAAAAATACAATGAAGAAAAATTACTGCCAAAAAGAATATGATGTGTGGAAAAACAATTTTCACTGGTGGAATTTTCCGGTTTTATGTGTCATCTTTTGTAATTAGAAATGCCAAAAATAATGAATTTGAGTAGTAAATCTGAATCTGAATAAGGAGGAGCTATAAGATAGTACATCATTTAATAACACTTATCAGTAATTAAACCAATAATTGTAMGCATGTTGAGAATTATAATAGGCCTAATGACCTTGTTGTTCTAGACTACTTGCTATAACGTTCTGAACTATTAAGACTATTTTGTCAACATAATTGTACCCTTCCTTAATGTTTCTTAGAACCAACAAGTAAACATCAATCATCCTTGCAAGATATATTTTATACTATGGATATGTCTATGTGGTATGATATCTGAGGTTCGATTTGCAATAAATCAGTGCCRAATCCGAGTCAGGTGTAGCTAGAACAAGATTGTCCCTTAACTTCTGTCTCACAATGCCCATAGTAAGAAAAGGGGGGCAAAATTATATGGCATTGAAATGTGTTCATTTGGTGGGGAATTTGCACAATTTCAGCATAAACCACTGAGTTACATCCCCAGTCCAAGTCCCTACCTTTTTATTTGCTTATATTTTAAAATGTGACTTTGAGCTGGGCCTTGTTGTACATATCTGCAGTCCCAGCAGCTTGAGAGGCTCAGGCAGGATGATTGCAGGTTCCAGACCAATCTGGACCTGTCTCAAAATTTAAAAAAAAAAAAAAAAAAAGCTGTGAGTGATGGTGGTACTGGGGTGTAGGTGTATCTCAGTGGTAAAGCACCCCTGGGTTCAATCTCAGATACCACAGAAATAAGTTCTTAAGAATTTTAGCCATGTGTAGTGGTGCTTACCTGTAGTCCTATCTCATYGGGTGGCTGATGTGGGGGATTTCTTGAACCCAGTAGTTTGAAAYCAGCCCGAGCAACAGCAAAATGTCATCTCAACAAAATAAACTGAAGATGTAGCTCTAGTAGATAGAACTTATGTTGAGAATAGAAAAATAGTAGCTAGGCATGATGGCATGTGCCTATAGTCACAGCTACTCAGGAGGCTGAGGCATGACATAGTCCCTTGTTAAAAAAAACATTATGTGTGTGTAAGTGTGTATACACACACACACACAGATTGTCTGTCTCTGTCTGACAATGTTCTCTTTTTATATTGGCAATATATCTTTATTCATAATGCCTATCACTGTACTAGTGGTAACTATTGTATAACTGCATAAAGGAATGTTTTTAGTTATGTTAATGGTGTTTGCAAAACTTGATTTAATGAAACTTGTTAGCTTTATATTCACTGAGAAGAAAAATGATGSTGAAAAACTTCAGGCTTTAGTTTATTCCTTCTATCTCTTGTACTATTGAGTTGACAAAACTCTGGTAGCATTTCTTTTCAAAGGAACTTTTAAATCTACTGTTTCTTCTTATTAAAAAAAAAAAAAAAACTTTTCCATATTAGGCAAAATGTAAGTATGTCCATACCGTTACTCTTAAGGATTTACTTACTTATTTATCATTTTAGCTTTCTAATGGAATCCCTATAGAAAGCTGGTTTATGGATAAAAATGACAATGAACTCCTAAAATTGATTCCATTTCTGGAGAAGCTTGTAGAACTGGTAAGTATAATTTATTGTTTTTTTTTTGTTTTTGTTTTTTGTTTTTTGTCAACTATGTGGAAATCTCTTGCTTTATGTGTACTGGTTTTTAAAAGTTAACTGCTGAGAGGTTAGGGGAAAGTTTAAAAAAGATTCAGGATTTTTTAATGTTTTTAATAAACTTTTTAAAAATGTACAGCAGAGGGGCTGGGGTTGTGGCTTGGTGGTAGAAYGCTTGCCTAGCATGTGTGAGGCACTGAGTGTGATTCACAGCACCACATATAAATAAATGAATAAAATAAGGTCCATCAATGTCTAAAGAAGTAGTTTTTAAAAATCTACAGCAGAAATCAGTTAGGCTTATTCTTATAATCAAATAAAAGATACTCTGTATTATCTAGCATGCACAAGGCTCTGAGTTTAATTCCCCAAAGTGCTCCTCTCCAAAGGAAAAAACAAAACAAAAACATACGCCATATTGTATATTACAACTTACATTTGTATACTGAAGAGGCAAAGTGTCTGTGTGGCTCTTTTACACTCCTTTCTTATAAAGTATACAAAAACAGATACCAAGAATGCTATCGGGGGCCTTGATGGCAAAATGAGTAGACTTGGCTTTGGTCTGTGAATTAGGACTTCAGAGATGCAGGTAAATCCTATAGATCAGGAATAGCTCCAGGGAGCCAAAAATATGGTTTTAATTTATCCTCACATCTGTTCATGTTAAGAGTAGCAGGTATGGACATGGAAACTTCCCTAAAAACTACTCTATTTCCCGGAGTTGGATGAGCTAGACTCTCACTGAACAAGTGAGGACAGAAGGGAAACCTCTGGAATGGGTTAGTGGCTTGAGAGTCACTGGGTGAACTAGTTGTGATTTAGGGAAGAGAGGAAGGAGTCTTTTAAGTTCKGTCATCACCTGTAACAGTCAAGGTTCACAGCTGCATGGCAGATGTGTGAGATCTCAGCAGGTGGGGGTTAAAGAAAGTCCCTCTATACAAAATTGGTATTCAAGGGAAATTAATCAGTGACCAGTAAATTGGCCCAAAGGATTAGGGGAAGATCTTTAATGGAAGGGAAGAGAGAAGAGATACATCATAGAAACAAATGGAAAGTCCCAGACCACTGAGGAGACCAAGGATAAGGAGAGGGCTCTCCCTCCTCAGTAGGTTTTGGCAAAGAATTATAGGACTGGAGTTAGAATGCATTGATGTAGAATCTCACCTGGAGTTCTGAACCCCAGACTTCACTGCCCACTATTATTCTCTATGAGCATTTTCCCCCCAGTAGTGGGGACTGAACCCAGGGGAATTCTGCCACTGCACTACTGCCACAAGGTCTTATTGAGTTGCCCAGCTGGCCTCTAACTTTTGATCTCCTGCCTCATCCTCCCAAGTATTGCACCAGTCAATTTTAAGAGGAAAGTAAGATTTAATGGCTTAATCCTCTCATCTATCTTACAAGTTAACTGTATCTGTGTTACATTTCTGTACAATAATCCTTTGAAGTCCATCCAGAATTGGTTCTAGGATCTCCTGTTTATCAAAATCTGCAGATGTTTTAAGTCCCTTATGTAACATGAAGTAGTATTGGCATATAACCTATACACATCCAATAAACTTTAAATTATCTCTGGATTACTTATAAGACCTAATACAATGTAAATAAATATTTGTTATACTGTATTATTTAGTAATTAAGACAGGGGAAAAGTCTATACATGTTCAGTACACATGCAGTTTTTTCCTGAATGTTTTTGATCCAAGGATGGTTGAGTGTACAGCTGTGGAACCAGTGGCTATAGAAGGCTGACTGTATTTGGCCAGCAAAATAATATAAATCATGAAATTAAATAGTACATTTCCTCTGCAGAGTAAAGCTGTTTTAATGTTATAAGGATCATATCTTTGAAATTATGTAGCTTTTTTAAAAAGGTCTCCTTTTTTTCCACACAGAATGAAGATGTCCGACCTCACATCAGAGACAGATTTCGCTTGCATGATTTGCTGCCCCCAGATTAAGTACAAAGACTTGTCAAATCACTGAAGGGGGAGAGAATGCAGGACCCTTTTGGACTGAAACAAAAACATTGCCATTACTGTTGAAATTTTGCATTTTTGTACCCCGTCTTGCTTTTCTTATCTTTGGTGCCCAATAATAATCAAGGGTTACAGAAAGAGACTATCTATCTCAGATTGAATACATACAGTAGGTAGGCTAAAACAGAAGAGTCTTTAGAACTAGTGCAACTCCAGTGAAATTTTTTTATGTACAGGACATCTGCAGTTTATAAAGAATTCTGTTTCTGCCACCAGCAGTTTGACCTGTAGTTACACAGGATTTTATGATAATAACAGAGATGAAAATGGACTTTTATTTTCTCTCTGTTTGGTGCTCTAAGTGGGTTTGTAGCCACTTTTCTGTTACTTTATGATTCTCATTTCAACAGGAATGGCCAGTAAAAGTTGTTTTATTTTTTCCTGTTAAGGTTTATAACCTTTTTACATTTTTGACCTGTATTAGATTAGAATTTCATTATGCATTCCTTTTAGTTGAGGCGCTTCATAGTTTTCTGGAAATAGTCAGTTTTTAGTTTTTTATTATACATTTGAATGGCCGTTTTCCTGCTTTGTCTGCCTGCATATTGTATATTTGTTTAAAAATATTCTCTACTTTTAGTCCATGTAAGTTTCATTTAAAAAGACATGCATTTATATTTTGTYTCTGTAATATTCTACTGTAGGTGAAATCTTTTTAAAAATCAAGAGACTGGGTAGATAAGAATATATATGATGACTAATATTCAAAAGATTTAAACCATTGTGATGGCGTGTATTCCCAAATGGTAATATCTTGCAACGGCACACAGATTTAATGGATAAAGGTATACCTCAGACTTCACTGTGCTCACCAATCTTTGAGGAGAAAAGTTTAGTCACCTGTTGGGCTTGATTTAGTTACTGCTGCCTTTGGTTTTCTCCAGGAATGAAGTATGCAGCACAGTGACTCAGTATTTTTAGTTACTTTGCATGGGCTGGTAGTACCTCTGTTATGCTCTCAGTTACAATCAGTTTAAAACTCTGTGTAACAGTCTTGGTACCTAACAGTAGCTATGCATAATCCTGTGGCACAGTACACTCCCARGCCACCAATGCAGTTAATAGGCTCTCATAGTGGTTTTCTATGCTATATGAAAATAGTCTTCAAGCCTTGGTTCTCTAATGCAGCTACCACAAGAGGTTGATATTTTTATAGTGGTGTGTAATCTCCTTTTCGGGAGGCTTTTTATGGAAGGTAGAATTTGTAAAAGTTAGTATGCTTTGCCTCTCAACTGCATTAACATGCCACAGGCTTAGACTGTTTTTGTGTAAAGGATGTCAAAGAACGGCACTTTTTCTAAAGAGAAGTTTGATATTTTGTATGCTTGTTAAGAAAGTACAGTATTGGAAATTAAAGGTGGACAACTGATAATTGAGGAGTATGTCAGTTAATTTTTTATGTATATTACCTGTTTACTTGTACAACTTATTGTACAAATTACATGCAGCTTCATTTTCAAATGAATCCTTAAAATAAGGAAATCTTTTTAGGAAAAACATTTAATTTTTGTATTTTTGATTTTAAAAGGCATGAGTTATGTCAGTTTTCAGTGTATTAATGAAGATTTTAACTTTTCATCAGGTTGAGTGTTTTCTTACTATATTATCTGTTGTGTATGTAGTTAGCATATTGTGTCACTGAACTGTTTAAAATCTAGCATGTAGAGCAAGCCTGTTTTGTGGAAAATCCTTATTCATTAAAAAAAATAATCATGGCAGATTTTCTGCAAAAAAAAAAAGCAAAAGCATTTGCAATTCAGAATACTGATTTTTTTTTTTTAATTTAAAGAAAGGTATTTTGCTTGTAGGAAAAAATACTACAGATTCGTTTTAATGAGAATCTTTGAAATGTATTTATCTTTAGGGCATCTGGGCATCTTTATGCTGTTTGTCTTATGTCTTTCTTGAAATAAAATGTACATACGTTACCTTTACATATGCTCTTGCGCAAAATTGTGAACCTAGTTACATTTCTCCCTGCTCCCTTCTTTTTTATGCTCAAACAGCAAAACCCAAAACATAAATAAGATCTGAACTTTCAGCCTACATCGTATTTGCTGAAAGCTGTTCTGATTAAATTCAGTCCCAAAGGGCCTTCCCATAACTGAAAGGGAAATGTAAGCACCTATACCACTGTGCCTCTGTGCACTTTAATAATAAAAAGCAACTTTTAAATTATCTTTTATTAATGGTAAAGTCCTTTTCAATCCCATGCTAGGARTATTCTTTTATATCAGCTGATAAACAAATCAAGCATAACAAGCTTCTGTAAAGCTAAATAAGGGCAATTTTATATGGCCAGAGAACATTTCTTTAGAACAAATTAATATTTCTTCATCACTTTATTTGGGTAATTTTAAAGTTGTTAGTACAAAATTTAAAATCTCCCCATTACCTTTTTTATCTATTAATAGATATTTAACACTTCCATTTAGTYAATGGGAGGTGTGTATTTTTTTTAATTGAGATGTGCCAGCCCATCAGCTCACACGGGAAACATAAAATCTTAAAATCTAATTGTAGTGAATGCAGGAGAGAGATGGGTCCATGATGACACACAGCAAAAGTGACCTGTGCACACATTACAACTCTGAAGTACATAAGAAAATTGTGCTATTTTCAGTGATAAATATCTGACTTTTAAGACATTCTTTTAAATATTTGTTGTCATTGTTAGGCTGTTTTAATTAGTAGTTTTTAAAATTCCATGTAATATATGTATCCCTAATCAGATTTATCACAATATTTCTTCTTGGATCCTAAAAGAACTGATGACAGTTCGTAATCATAAATTGTTTTATATTAGCTAGTCGGAATATTTATTTACCCAGTGGCTTTATCTGCTTCCCAAAATTGATTTGGGATTTGTTGGAAGAAGCATTGTATAACTTCTATAAACAGCTATTTTCTTGTAACTGTTCGTGAAATGGATGTGTACATTGTTTATATATATTTATATATATATATATATRKKKTWTRTGTRWAWWWTATATATATAWAWATATATATATATATTTCTCTGGCTTTCTTTTTTTAAAAAATAGGGTTAACAGAATTTTTTTTGAAGTTATCTTTGGCCAATGACTTTTGCAACTAGATATTACTTTCATTCGACCTTCTAAAGATGTTCGCTTCTCATTATTTTGTTGTCAATTGCCTGAAAAACAGAAGACTTCATCTCATCAATGAAGAAGACATTTCATTATGCCTACAGATCTTTCCAGCGAGCACAGAATTCTTCATAAGGACCAGATCTCTTTCACATCTGTGTCAGTCATAAAAACATGAAATGTAAAGGACAATGAAGCCTTCATTTACTTGTACTAATATTATGGTGTTATGTACTACATCATTAGCTAGTTAAGGTTTTCTGATCTGACTTCTCTTTGTCTTCCTAGGTATTTATTTGTTATCTTTTAATCTTGTCTAAATTAACTTAGTTAATATTTACCCACCGAATAACTATGCCAAGCAACTAGGAAAGAATGTTTATTTTATTTCCCCTTATAGGGGAAGAGTGGACTGGGAACAAAAATGTATGGGCCAAAAGGCCTTAGGTTGTCATTCATTCACTTTCTTATTCCTCTTATGAGTTATATTTGAATATAGTATATGGTTTCAGTGCTGTGATATACTTGATTATGTCATCACTTTTCATGTCTTCCTGTGAGTTGAAAGCCTGCTAGGAATTTCTATAATACACACTTAAAAATTTCAGAGTAAGAAACACAAAACTAAGTATGTCATATTTAAATGCTACTTAAATTATTATTGGAATCTAAATATCACTGACAAGGATACATTTTTATAAAATGTTTCTCTGTATCTTGAATTGAAATTAATTGCCTAGAGGCAAAAGTTCTGGAGCTAAAATTATTTGAGATCTTTTTCAAAAGAGGTTAAGAGAGCAAAATAAGTTTATATACTATTTATTTCAGATACTATTACTTTAAGATACTTTGGTGATTTCCAGACCTCACGTCATTAGAATTACCCTAAGGAGCTGGGTCCGATGGCACACACCTGTAATCCCCCCAACTCTGGAGGGTGAGGTAGGAAGATAGAAAGTCCATTTGAGACAGCATGGTGAGACCCTCTCAAATTTCTAAAACATTTAAAAAGGCTGGGGATATAGCTCAATGTAAAGTACTCCTTGGGGTCAATATCCTGTGCTGTCCTCACCCCCACCCCCACCCCCACCCCCTGGCATACTCACAAAAATTCTAGAGGAGCTTTTCTAGTAAGATTCCCAAAGCCTGTCCCTAGAGAACTCTCATTATGGGGCCAGATGGGTTTTCCCCTCCTACAGAGGTGTATGTAATGTAATCTATTTTTACATATTCATACATGCACATAATGTAACAATATACTTTGGAGAGTTTGGTCTTTTTAAAGCTCTTCCTGGTTTGGGAAATCCCTGTTCTAAATGATGTGACAGTGGCTTGAGAGTAGGCAACAAAATAAAAGTTTATCAGAAATCTCTGTGGTAGTTAAAAAAAWTTTTTTTTAAATTTTTCCTTTTTTAGAAAATAGGACCAAATTTCACAGAACTTATTCAAGATACATGGAGGAATAATAAAGAAGATTGAGGCTWTTGCTCATTACCATTTTTGTCTTTCATATTTTTTAAGAGTTTGCATTTCTAGGACTTGGAATAGTTGATCATATACACAGCTGAAGGACATGTCCCTGAATGAGACCATTATATAAATATATAAATATATATATATATATAAACTGTAAAATATTTCACTATTTTTTTATTTTATAAATCTTTGTAGAAATAAGCAATGGAATACTACTTTCACCTTTTGAATGGGACTTTTCAAGGCAGTGTCCTTTTGGCATTAAGGTAGGGGGGAGTTAATATTCTCTCTACTTATTTCCACATAAATCAGTATAAAGTTATGGACATTTAAAAATCTCAATTTCTACTTATTTACTATGCAGTATAGCCGTGAAAAAGTAATGTAGACTTAGTTTTCTCATCTTCAAATGCCCTGATCACCCTACCTCACAGGGTTGTTGTGGGGATAAATAAAACTTTTATGGAAGCACTTTTCTTTGATGAATTTTATCAGCTATCAGAAATAATATCATTTCTAACAACTTATACTGCCATAGTGCTTTTTTGTTCCCAAGTACAGTTTTTTGTTTTTTAACCTTACTTTCCCTTTTGATATTGATCTTCAGGACAAACCTGTAAGAACCACAAGGGGTTGTGGATCAGGAAAAAGCAATAAGGAAACAGGCTCAGAGAGGGCTGTGACCAAAGACCTTGCAATTCCTGAGACTATCAATATAACAGCATATTCTCATACCTTGCATTGTTGTGTGATCATGCTTGTATGTGAATACAAAGCTTCCTCAATATATAGATCAATATAGCCAAAAAAGGTTGCTAGAGGTGTTTAAACCCCAGCAGGTCCCTCTCCCCCACCAACATTGTTACAAAATGAATATAGAATGGTACAAATTAAGCCTAAGAGAACAATCCAGTTTTTAAACAAAGTTCTACTTTCTAAATACACACATAAAAGAAATGGGTCTAGAAAAATATGTTCCCATAATCACATAGGAGACTAAAATTCAGATCTTGTAATTACCATTATTTAAAGTAATGGTTTTAGAAGAGTGACCAGTCTAGTTTCTAGAACTACTACTGAAATAAACACTTGAAGCCAGGCTGAATATAGAATGATGAGTTGGTTTTAGAGAGAGAGATAAGATGGCAGAGAATCAAATTATAGTGCGCTAAGATGAGGAATTCATACTTGATGTATAGACTAATGAGCCAATATCACTATAAAGTAGCACTCTGCTCCGATCCCAATCTCTGTGATGAGACTTGTAATAGTAATAACTTYCCTGTTCTCTGAAGGAATGTGATGCACAGATAGGCTTGGAAGTCACCAGCCCTTCAAAGATAAATGATTGCTCAGAGTCAAATGACTTGAATTCACATCTCCTAAAAAAAATCCATTTACTAGTTCATCTATAAAATGGGTAAGACCTACCATTCATTCTACGGTCATGTACAACTAATTAAAACAATTTTCTTTAAAAACCAACCATTCAGAATTTATAAAAGATGAAATGAAACATCAATATCTTATAATACTAAAGCAACACAATAACTTACCAGTATGGAGATGTTTATTGTGTAAGTGAAATGACAGCTATGCACATAGGTTTTGGGAGATGCCTGTCTGTAGAGGCAGAGAGTACAGTGGGTTAAGGGCATTATAACACCACAGAAGTTAAGAAAGATGTGAGCAGTGGGGTGCATTTAAACAAATGAAAATGCCAAGTGATAATGAAGGCTTCCATGGCAAACATGTTCAATGAAAATATGTTGGTTGCTGAGAAAAA